TCTTCAACTTGTCGGTTTTCAAAACCATTCATCACATTCCCTTCTTTACCTCCATAGATAACGTTCTTTGTCTCCACATATACCTCAATGCACCACTCGCCTTTTGTCAACACTTATCAACAGTTACATTCTTTACCGCTGTAAATGTACCAACATTCGATAACAGAAGTTCTGTCATGCTGTGTTGTGTATGTTGTGACATACTCTGGTGAGGTGAATTAATAAAGACATGATGAAATGCATGAAAATTTACCAAAGTTGTGAGGATGTTGGACTCAGGTGACCCAGCGAAGTGTAAACAGGTAGACAATGATATGTTCAAACTGTTTTGTACAAAGAAATGTTTTTTTTTTCAGGTTATCTTTGTCGTTTACTTAACATTTGCTCTGTTTTTCATCGATTGATGAATTTCTTTTTTAATTTAGCTGTTGTTGAATATTATAATATTATTGATCGTTCTATTTATATATTATTTTAATTTTTTTTTTTTGGGGGGGGGGGAGGAAGACTAACTAACTCTATTGTCTATAGAAAAAACTGGTAAATATCATAAGGATATTAACCTATACCAAGACAGCAGCTGCACTCAGAATCAAGATGCAGGTGACTATCAATCACATCAACGACCTTGATATGTCAGAAATCACAAACGCGCTTGGAAGTTCACTACTTTTTTCACAGTGTTTGTTCAGTGCTTATGTATGTATATAGTCAGAGGTGAAATATGTTAATTAAGTCACCGGTACCACATAACCTTGGTCCCCAGTACAACATAACCTTAGTCTCGTTATCACATAACCTCGGTCCCCAGTACCACATAACCTCGGTCCCCGGTACCACATAACCTCGGTCCCCAGTACCACATAACCTTAGTCTCGTTATCACATAACCTTGGTCCCGGTACCGCATAACCTCGGTCCCCAGTACCACATAACCTCGGTCCCCGGTACCACATAACCTCGGTCCCCAGTACCACATAACCACGGTCTCCAGTACCACATAACCACGGTCCCCAGTACCACATAACCACGGTCTCCAGTACCACATAACCACGGTCTCCAGTACCACATAACCACGGTTCCCAGTACCACATAACCACGGTTCCCAGTACCACATAACCACGGTCTCCAGTACCACATAACCACGGTCTCCAGTACCACATAACCTCGGTCCCCAGTACCACATAACCACGGTCCCCAGTACCACATAACCACGGTCCCCAGTACCACATAACCACGGTCTCCAGTACCACATAACCACGGTCTCCAGTACCACATAACCACGGTCTCCAGTACCACATAACCACGGTCTCCAGTACCACATAACCAAGGTCTCCAGTACCACATAACTACGGTCTCCAGTACCACATAACCACGGTCTCCAGTACCACATAACCACGGTCTCCAGTACCACATAACCACGGTCTCCAGTACCACATAACCACGGTCTCCAGTACCACATAACCACGGTCTCCAGTACCACATAACCACGGACCCCAGTACCACATAACCACGGTCTCCAGTACCACATAACCACGGTCTCCAGCACCACATAACCACGGTCTCCAGTACCACATAACCACGGTCTCCAGTACCACATAACCACGGTCTCCAGTACCACATAACCACGGTCTCCAGTACCACATAACCACGGTCTCCAGTACCACATAACCACGGTCTCCAGTACCACATAACCACGGTCTCCAGTAGCACAACACAGGAGACCAGAAGAGTGAAGGAAAACATTAAGAATATAGAAAAGTTATATATAAATTATCGTCCCAATTTTGTCAATAAAAACTGTGAACTTTGAAATGTTCAGCCAAACATGTAAGTTCCAGCAGGAGACTCCAGCCTGGAAGGTAAACTGAACAGGTATTTCTCTTGTATCTCAGACAACAATGTAATATAGTTCACCAGAACAGTAAGTTTGAAGCCGATCTGAAGCTGCATTATCAACTTATCATCACTGCTGAAAGTGTCAAAATTTTTAATAAACTTCCTGTGTTTTATGTGTGGTAATTGATAGCAAAATAATGTTTATATAATACTGTACGTAAGTATATATATATATATATATATTATATATATATATATATATATATATAATATATATATATATATACGTGTGTGTGTGTGTGCGCATACCTAAATAAAATATTCTAACATTGTGTCATCACAATTATCGGTACTTTATTCCAAGTATTCGGACATTTTAGTTCTTTACTTATGAATATTTCAAGACCTTTATCTTCACAAGTCTCTCTGAGTTGCTTACTTTATACTTAACTCATATTTTACTGTATTTTATTGTATTTGCATCTGTCAACACTGAAAATCATTCCCAATTTTTTTTGATCACTGTGACAACCTGTCCAGATCTTTCTGAAAACTTAGAAAGTTGTTCGCAAATGCTTTAATTTCCCTAATTTTCTTATAGAAAAGCTTCGCAATTCTGAATGTAAGCCCCACTTCTTTATCATTTACTGTATGTACATTAAGAACTAGACTGTATAAAGGACTGAGCCCTGGTGGAGCCCTACTTGTCACGTTACGCGCTGACACATCACCAGTGACAACTACTGTGTGTTTCCTGTCACTGAGCAGATCATTGATCCAGTAAAGAAGCACATTATTCCCTGAGATTTACCTTTATTAAGTAATCTCATAGGCAGTATTTTTAATTAATGATGGAAGTTGAGGTACATCTTGTTTTCCTTATTTTTTTTTTATTGAGCTAAAGAACTCCAGAAGCATATTTTACTGCGAAAATCTTATTGATTATTGAATAATTTTAAAATAAATAAGAAATTCAGAGATATTATTATAATTTACATTAGTTTAGAGTATATTAGAGAATATTAGAGTAACATTGACCAGCTACCAGTTACATGCAGTTGGTGTTCTATTGACTTCCTAGATACAGATAAGTTATTTAGATTCATTCAGTATTCGGGCTTATTATCATATACAGTCAATAGTTGAGGAAGTAGTCGAGTTCTTTAACACTGTTCTGCAAATGAAGGATCTTTGTGAGTCTTAAGTAAATAGTGTTAGCACACTTGACTCACGAAATCGTAATGGCACGATTGCAAACAAACCATACCACGGGTGGCGGGGATTGAACCCGCGATCAGAGTGTCATAAAACTCCAGACCGACGCGTTAGCCACTGGGCCAGCTGGCTAGAATATTCATCCAACTAGGATATAGCCAGCTGACCCAGTGGCTAACGCGTCGGTCTGGAGTATTATGACTCTCTGATCGCGGGTTCTATCCCGGCCCATGGGATAGTTTGTTAGCACATTTGTTTTGTGTAATTTATTAGATAACTCAATTCGAACTATTGGGAGAGCAGTCGATTTAGAGTTATCCCTTACATTAAGTGCTGTTGTTTGGTGATCTCCGGTTTTTGTGGAAGTCAGCTGTTGGTCAGCACAGGTACTTGGGCATAAAGCTGTATGGTCCATGGCAGAAGGCTCGAACCAGCTCCTTCCATGAATGATAAAGAAATCATGGAGGATCCTACCTCGAACCTGAGCAACTCAGACGTATATTAAGAACATAAGAATGAAAGAACACTGCAACATGCCTATTGACCTATGCGAGGCAAGTCCGATTCTCCTACCGGCTTAAGCTCACTGACCTAGTGACATTAAGCTCACAGACACGTCACTTAAAGGTATAGCTCAACATCCCACCTAGTAGCACAAGCTAGCTAGATCCAACTCACACCCACTCATGTATTTATCCAACCTATTTTTAAAACTTCACAACGTCTTAGCTTCTATGATGGTAGTCGGGAGTTTGTTCCCTCATCCACAACTATATTACCAAACCAGTGCTTTCTTATATCCTTCCTGAATCTGAATTTTCCAGTATCAAACCAAATGCAAAGTATACATCCAGCCCTGTGGTCACTATCTTGAACACTGCTTTATTGTCCTTTTATTGTGGAATATAAAGATAGTATGTGATATTCAAGATTTTTTCAACACGCTGGCCGCCTCCCACCGAGGCAGGGTGACCCAAAAAAGAAAGAAACACTTTCACCATCATTCACACTTAATCACTGTCTTTGCAGAAGCTCGCAGATACGACAATCAGATGTCGCTCCAAACAGCAAACATCCCAGACCACTCCTTTAAAGTGTAGGCATTGTCAAGATATCTTATTAAAAATACGATACCAGATATATTAAGGAAATTTCCTAAATTTGCTTCTAACAGATAAGTGAACTGTATACATAAATCCAGATGTACTCTTGTTAATCCTTTGGGGCCTAGTTTCTAGGCCTCTTGTGTATCCATATGATCTTGCGCTACCATCCACAGGATGGATATGGAGGGCACAATAAACTAGTCACTTCTGCGGCAAAATCTAAAAAAAAAAAAAAAATCTAATCTTTCCTTAACCTACTTCGTGCCTAGCTGAGAAAGTTGAGCTACAATTCTTGTACCTATTACACGTCTATCTAAGGAAGATAAGTTGCATTTCCTGAACCTACGTGCTTAACTGGGAGGACTGGTCAAGGATCGGGCCTCGGGGGCGTTCACCCTCGGAATAACCTCCACGTAGATAAAGCTACTACATTCCTATCTAATTATCGTAAGCATGTAGTAGGCCCAGAAACTGTAATCCATCTGACTCAAACACACAGGCATATAGTAGGTCAATTAATGTTAGCTAATCATGCTCTACTGCTAGGTATGTGTGACGTCAGCAGATGGACTTCAATTCGTCTTCCCTTGTTAGGCAAGGAATAGTTTCAAGAAGAGAAAGGTAACTTGACTCACGAAATCGTAATGACGGGCTGGAGTTTTGAGACTCTCTGACCGCGGGTTCAATCCCAGCCGGGGTATGGTTTAGAGAAAGGTAAATAGGGAATCTAGCGGGCAGGATAAAAGTGTTAGGATAGGAAAACAATTGGGCAGGAATGTAGTTGGGCTGGAGGTCTGGCAGTGGGGCAGGATGTATTGTATATATATAGAAAGTGGGATTACACAGCTGAACACTCATTCAGAGGGCTTGGACGTGCTCGTCTGCGCCGCTGCTCACTTTCTTATCTAACAGCATCATTGTTCCCGTCTCTTTAAGTGCTTAAGTGTCCAGGTAGGTCTTTGTGATGTCACGTTCATACTGAAACGAAACTTTATAGATGTATTGTGATGCTCGGGCATGACCGGAATTATGGCAGTAAGGTGAGGCCAGCCTGCTTACCTGCTCACACAGACCAGTGGGTGCTGCCATTGCCCAACACGGAGTCGGCACCGCTGAACGGGTCATACCTGACAAACACCCGTGTCAGTGTGTTCCCTGACAAACACCCGTGTCAGTGTGTTCCCCTGACAAACACCCGTGTCAGTGTGTTCCCCTGACAAACACCCGTGTCAGTGTGTTCTCCTGACAAACACCACCGGTGTCAGTGTGTTCCCCTGACAAACACCACCGGTGTCAGTGTGTTCCCCTGACAAACACCACCGGTGTCAGTGTGTTCTCCTGACAAACACCACCGGTGTCAGTGTGTTCCCCTGACAAACACCACCGGTGTCAGTGTGTTTCCCCGACAAACACCACCGGTGTCAGTGTGTTTCCCCGACAAACACCACCGGTGTCAGTGTGTTCCCCTGACAAACACCACCGGTGTCAGTGTGTTCCCCTGACAAACACCACCGGTGTCAGTGTGTTCCCCTGACAAACACCACCGGTGTCAGTGTGTTCCCCTGACAAACACCACCGGTGTCAGTGTGTTCCCCTGACAAACACCACCGGTGTCAGTGTGTTTCCCCGACAAACAAACTAACTACAGTTCATCTTCATTAAAGGTGGCCCCTGATTCCTCACCTACTGCCTAGAACCTGACCAAGCATACCTTAGTTTATACGTCAGTATAAAATCACCTGATACGGCTCCCTCTTACAGGTTTAATCGCTTGCTGACTCTGTAAGACATTCGTAAACTATTTCATCGTGATATTGTTTGGTTGTGGCCTTGATATTGTTTGGTTATGACCTTGATATTAAACCATACCCCCGGCCGGGATTGAACCCGCGGTCATAGAGTCTCAAAACTCTAGCCCGTCGCGTTAGCCACTAGACCACCTTGATATTGTTTGTGACCTTGATGTTTGGTCATGACCTTGATATTGTTTGGTCATGACCTTGATATTATAAGATCACTCACTACAGTGCCACGAAGGTTATCCTCATGCATGTTCTTTCCTTCATGTTCTGTGAGTCACACCTCCTCCCTATAATGTAAGCTCTGCTTCCTAACCTGCTGCCTATAATGTTAGGTCTGTCTCACCTGCTGCCTATAATGTTAGGTCTGTCTCACCTGCTGCCTATAATGTTAGGTCTGTCTCACCTGCTGCCTATAATGTTAGGTCTGTCTCACCTGCTGCCTATAATGTTAGGTCTGTCTCACCTGCTGCCTATAATGTCAGGTCTGTCTCACCTGCTGCCTATAATGTTAGGTCTGTCTCACCTGCTGCCTATAATGTCAGGTCTATCTCACCTGCTGCCTATAATGTCAGGTCTGTCTCACCTGCTGCCTATAATGTTAGGTCTGTCTCACCTGCTGCCTATAATGTCAGGTCTGTCTCACCTGCTGCCTATAATGTCAGGTCTGTCTCACCTGCTGCCTATAATGTCAGGTCTGTCTCACCTGCTGCCTATAATGTCAGGTCTGTCTCACCTGCTGCCTATAATGTTAGGTCTGTCTCATCTGTTGCCTATAATGTTAGGTCTGTCTCACCTGCTGCCTATAATGTCAGGTCTGTCTCACCTGCTGCCTATAATGTCAGGTCTGTCTCACCTGCTGCCTATAATGTCAGGTCTGTCTCACCTGCTGCCTATAATGCTAGGTCTGTCTCACCTGCTGCCTATAATGTCAGGTCTGTCTCACCTGCTGCCTATAATGTCAGGTCTGTCTCACCTGCTGCCTATAATGTCAGGTCTGTCTCACCTGCTGCCTATAATGTTAGGTCTGTCTCACCTGCTGCCTATAATGTCAGGTCTGTCTCACCTGCTGCCTATAATGTTAGGTCTGTCTCATCTCACCTGCTGCCTATAATGTCAGGTCTGTCTCACCTGCTGCGTATAATGTCAGGTCTGTCTCACCTGCTGCCTATAATGTTAGGTCTGTCTCATCTCACCTGCTGCCTATAATGTTAGGTCTGTCTCACCTGCTGCCTATAATGTCAGGTCTGTCTCACCTGCTGCCTATAATGTCAGGTCTGTCTCACCTGCTGCCTATAATGTTAGGTCTGTCTCACCTGCTGCCTATAATGTCAGGTCTGTCTCACCTGCTGCCTATAATGTCAGGTCTGTCTCACCTGCTGCCTATAATGTCAGGTCTGTCTCACCTGCTGCCTATAATGTCAGGTCTGTCTCACCTGCTGCCTATAATGTCAGGTCTGTCTCACCTGCTGCCTATAATGTCAGGTCTGTCTCACCTGCTGCCTATAATGTCAGGTCTGTCTCACCTGCTGCCTATAATGTTAGGTCTGTCTCATCTCACCTGCTGCCTATAATGTCAGGTCTGTCTCACCTGCTGCCTATAATGTTAGGTCTGTCTCATCTCACCTGCTGCCTATAATGTCAGGTCTGTCTCACCTGCTGCCTATAATGTCAGGTCTGTCTCACCTGCTGCCTATAATGTCAGGTCTGTCTCACCTGCTGCCTATAATGTTAGGTCTGTCTCACCTGCTGCCTATAATGTTGGGTCTGTCTCACCTGCTGCCTATAATGTCGGGTCTGTTCCCTGTCCCTATAATGTGGGGTCTGCTCAACGCGCCTATAATGCAGGTCTGCTCACCTGCTCCCTATAAGTCATTTTTGTCTCACTTGCCAAATGTTATTTCTGTTCACCTGCCCCTATAATTCAGGTCTGTCTCCCCTCTCCCTATAATGTCAGATCGCCCTCCCTACTGCTTAAATGTCAGGTCTGTCTCACTCTGCCTTAAAAATTGTGGTCTGTCTCACCTGCTGCCTATAATGTCTCTGCCCCTCACCTGCTCCCTTAATGTCAGGTCTGTCTCACCGCTGCCTAAAATGCAATCTGTCTCACCTACTGTTATATGTAGGTCGTCTCACCTGCCCCTTTAAAAATGTCAGTCTGTCTCACCTGCTCCCTATAATGTCAGATCTTCTCCCCCGCTGCCTATAATGTCGTCTGTCCACCTGTCCCTAAAATGTCGGTTGTCTCACCTGGCCTAAATGTCGGGTCGTCCACCTGCTGCCTAAAATGTCAGATTTCTCACCTGTTTTATAATGTCAGGTCTTTTCCCCCCCACCCTGTTTTTAAAAAAAAAAATTCCCTTTGTTACGCGCCTTAATGTCATCTGTTCATGCTCCCTATAATGTGGGTCTGTCTCCTTGCTGCCTAAATTCGGGTCGTCTCCCTGTGCCTAAAAATGTCAGTCTGTCTCACCTGCCCCATAATGTCAATCTTCTCACCTATTTCTTATAAGTCAGTATGTCTCACCTACTGCCAAATGTAAACTGCCCCTGCTGCCTATTTTATTGTCATCTGTCCCCCTGCTTTTTTAAAATGTAACTCTGTTTTGGGATTAACCTGGTAATATTTGTCAGTTGTATTTAGAGAAAGACTCAACAGTATTTAAAATTTTGAATCTTTCGGTCTTGTTGCTTTATCAAGGTACGGTCCAAAACTTTCCAATTTAGTTATGCTTTATAGACTACGTCCTTCATTCCACTCTTCTATCAGACAATGTTTACAACAACCTTGTCTACCTGCAGCTTTAATGTATCCCCTCATCCCTATTTTCAGCAGGAAGGTTACATTTCTACACTGTACTCCACAAGGACGCGATCTACTCAACGGACCTCGTTCACAATCGGGTCATTCCAACAAGTAATTCTATTCAATCTATTTTACTAGGATTATGCAATCGCTTTGTAAGCATTTGATGGTCAACATTAAGTAAACTACATAATTTACAGATAGTCCCTAGACTTCCAGGCTGCATTTCAGGAGACTTGAATGTTATTTTTTAATAATTATAACTTCAGGTAATTGTGCTATTATGCCTAGTTACTATTTACCTTATGTTTTTTTCCAGTGAATGTTTTATTTTTGGCCTATCTTTTAATTTGATATCATAGCAAGTTTCCCTAGCTTGGATTTTTTTGTAGCGATGTAGTTAAATTTGGTTTTAAGTGTAGTGACTTGTGTACCCAGGTAAAATTCTGTGGCGTGTTTTTGTGTTTAGGACTCATGTTTTTTATTTTGCAAAGTAGTACTGTGTGTTATTGATTTGTTTCGGTCTGGTGTCAATTTTAGCCTTAATATTGCTAAATTTTGATAAAGGTTTATCTATTAGGTGTATTATAGTGTTTGGTCTTGTATAATGTTCTTTGACTTTTTGTTCAATTTATAAAGTGTTTAGGTCAGTTATATTGAATTTAGTTTTTATCGTGCAATTAGTATTGATTTTTTAACAGATTATTTTAGATCTATGAAAGGAGGGGGGGGGTTTGCAGTGTTGTATTGAGTAATTCTACTGCGCTTTGTTTTTTATTTGCTTTAGTGTATCTGGTACTAATCATCTAATTACTGGTGGTATGGTAAATATGGTGTACCCAAATATTTTGGAAATGGATAATTTGGCAGTATAATGTGATCCTTTTGGATACGTTCGCCCCATGTGTGTCTTTTTCATTCCAAATTATCACATCACCATAAATACCACTACTGGAGTTTAATCTTTCCATTTGTGTATTATTAACCTTTCTTCCAAAAAATATCTTTGTTGGCACATCGATGTAGACTTTTTACTTCACTTTTATTTGCTTTGGGTTAATTTACTTAAATATTTATATGTGCGAATTATCGCAAATGTCAATAAGAAAGTTTTATTAGCGTTGTGACCATTTATCATGTTACTTTACAATTTCTCTGTTCGAAACCATATCTTTATAATTTACCTAACATTGATCTTTTATATTATCATGACTTTCATCTCTACAGAAAGTCTTTTTAGTTTACATTTCCAAGTCTATAACCTTAAGTCACTGCAAAAATTACTTTAATGTTTGTGGTTGCATTCCATCGTGGTATTCTCTGTTTTTAAACCCATCTCACACTCA